TTTTAAGAATTTCACTTTTTTGGTATCCCTTCCCCCCTCTATTATCTGTCTCTTCCTTTCCACTGGAATTTTCCATCGTGCAAATACATCCATTGCAAGTATCTATAATCTTTTTATTGGTTGAAACAAGTGAAATTGACATTTCTGTTAGTAAAAGCTAGTAGAATGTGGGCCTCACTTCCTCATCTTTTATTCACTTTTTAAAATTAAAAATTAATGAATAGTTAATACACTCACATGGTATATGATTCAACAGTACATAAAGGTAAGCAATTAACAGTTCTTGCTTCATCATCCTATAATCTAGTCACCTAGTGCCCATACTGTATATACTGTTCTGCAATTTTGAAAAATTTACCTACAAAGACCTTTTTCTGATTAACATTATTCCATTTTGTTTTTCCATAATAATTCCATCATAATTTTTTTACCAGTGCTCCAGTGATGGATATTTATAATTTTTCAAATTTTTTGCCATAAAAATAAAGCTGTTTATGAAATACACACATGACATTTTGTACATGTAGAATAATTTCTTATAAGTAGAGTTGCTGGGCCACTATACACTGGCATATTATTTATAATTTTGATAGATAATAACAAATTGTTCTTCATGTTTGGAAGTCTTTGAATCCTTGCACTTTAGCCAGAGATATTAAGCTTTTTTTGGTCCTTACCAATATTATAGGAGAAAAATTTGTATCCTTGACCCTTGAATAGCCAAACTCATTCAATGACTTGACTGATTCAATCAAAATTACACATAATTAAGGGCTCCAGTTCAAGATGGTGACATAGGAGTTTCCTGAACTCACCTGAATCACAGACATTGAATCTGTGGTTAACTATGGAACAATTACCTCTGAAAGAGATCCAGAAACTAGTTGGGTGTCTTGTACCCACCCAATGGGTGAATGAGAAGAAACCCATATCAAAACATGTCAGCAGTAACTCCCTGGAAAGAGCTTGTGCATATATGTGACACCCCAGCTTCTATAGCTGCTGCCTGGATATGCTGCTCAGATATGTCCAGGTATCACACCCCTTGATGGCCTGGCTCTGGTGTTCACAGGGGCTTGTGTTCACAGGTTAAATGGAACTGTAGCAAACAAACAGTTTTCAAACAGCTGTCTCCCCTGAGGCTTACTGCAGAGGCAACAGACAAAAATGCTAATATCTCAGGCTTTCCCTGAAAGAGGCTGATTTGCAGAACTTAAAAGCTGCAGCCTGAGGTCACGCTTCTGAATTAATCACATCTGGGGGCTAATCCATCCTTTCCCTAGACTGGAGGATGTTGGTGCAGCCTCTGCATTCTCCCTCTGGCATGCTCCAAGTCACTGGTATCTCCCTGGAGGGAGATTGTGTACAAGTCTGGTACCCCATTTTGTGGCTGCCATCCAGGGGACACACCCCTAACCTGCTTGACTCTGATGGCCAGCAAAGCTTGTGTTTGTGGATACCAAAAGACTGTAGAAACAAAGAAACAGTTCTTAACAGGCTCTCCCCCCAAGGGTTCAGTGCAGAGAGAGCAGACAGAAATGCTCATCTCTCATCTTTCTCTGAAACAGGTCCAGTTGTGTACTTTAAAAGCCGTTGCTTGAGGATCTGACTTTCAATTAGCCTGCACCTAGATGCTGACTTGGATCTTTCCTTTGGGACACTGATAGGTCTTGGCATACCTTCAATTACTGGAAGCCACTAGGAATAAAGAAGGCTGTTTGGACAATAACAAATGTTTAAGAGACAAGAAAGAGGTATGGCCCAGCTGAGCAATAAGTTCCATCTCCTACATAAGATTACTCTTTCAAATCTCGGAGAAATGGCTGTTTTATCTAATACACAGAAAATAACACAGTACAGGAAAATGGGAATCAGAGAAATTTGTTCCAAATGAAAGAAAAGATATAGATGAAAACACAGAAACAGACTCAATGAACAGATAAGGGATTTAACTCATAAAGGTTTCAAAATAATGGTCATAAAGATGCTCACTGAGATAAGGAGAGCAATGTATGAATAAAGAGAGAACAAAGAATTTCAACAAATTTATAGAAAATATAAATTTAGAAAATATAATATAAATGTGCTGAAAAATTTAATAGAGGGGTTTAACAGTAGCCTAAATGAAGTGGAAGACAGGATCTGCGTATTTAAAGACAGAGCAGAAGAATCGTAGAATCAAAAAGCAAAGAGGAAAAAGAAAAAGTGTGAAGATACCTTAAGAGACTTAAGAGACATCATCAAGTAGACCATTATTCACAATAAAGGGGTCCCAGAAGAGGAAGAGAGAAAAAAATGGTATAAAGCTAATTTGAAGAAATAACAGCTGGAAATTTCTCTAAACTGGAGAAAGACACAGGTGTCCAGATCCAGGAAGCCCAGAAGGTTCCAAATAGATGAAACCAAAGAATAGACACAATTGTCTGTTTCAGCAATTAAACTGTCTAAAGTTAAAGACAAAAAAAGAATCTTAAAAACAGCAAGAAAAAAATAACTTATTACACACAAGGGAACCCCCATAACATTGTCACAGGGTTTTCTGCAGAAACTTTGCAAGCCAGAAGGGAGTGGCACAATATGTTCAAATTGCTGAAAGAAAGCAACTGCAAACCAAGAATATTCTACCTGGCAAAACTGCCCTTCAGAATGGAAAGAGAGATAAAGATTTCATCAGACAAGCAAAAGCTAATGGAATGCATCACCACTAGACCAGCCTTACAAGAAATGCTAATGAGACTTCTTCAGGCTGAAATTAAATAGTGCCAATTAGTAACAAGAGATAAACAAGAATACATCTCACTGGTAAAGATAAAGTTAAATTCAGAATACACTAATATTGTAATGGTGGTGGATCAATTACTTATTAATCTAGTATGAAGGTTAAAATATAAAAGTAGTAAGAATATTATAGCTATAATAATTTGGTAATGGATACACAGGTAAAGAGATGTATATTGTGACATCAAAAACATAAAACTTGGTGGTAGAGAGTACAAATGTAGAGCTTTAGTATGCATTTGAACTAAAGTTGTTAGCAGCTTAAAATAAGCTCTTATAAATATAAGACATTTTATATAGCCTCTTGGTAATCATAAAGCAAAAACCTATAATAGCTACCCAAAAGATAAAGAAAAGGAAATTCACCATACCATAACAGAAAATCCGGAAATCACAAAGGAAGAAAGCAAGAGGAGGAGAAAAGAAAGAAGGAATGGAAAAACAGAAAACAATTAACAAAACAACGGTAAATACATATCTATCAATAATCACTTTAAATGTAAATGGAATATATTCTCCAATCAAAAGACATAGTGTGCATGAATGGATCAAAAAAAAGAAGACCCCACTATGCGCTGCCTTTAAGAGACTCACTTCAGTTTTAAGGACACACACAGACTGAAAGTGAAGGAATCGAAAAAGATATTCCATGCAAATGGAGACCAAAAGAAGTCAGAGTAATTATACTTACATCAGACAAAAGAGACTTTAAGCTAAAGGCTGTAAGGGGAGACAAACATGTCATTACATTACTATGAAGGGCTCAATCCAACAAGAGGTTATAATATTTATAAATTTATACACCCAACATAGGAGCACCTAAATATATAAAGCAAATATTAACAGTCTGAAGGGAGAAATGGACCACAATACAATAATTGTAGGGGATTTCAGTAGTATACTTTCAGTAATAGATAGTTTGTCCAGACAAAAAATCATTAAGGAAAGAGTGGACTTAAACTATACATTGGACCAGATGGACTTGATAGACATTTACAGAACATTCCACACAAAATCAGAAGAATACATATTCTTCCCAAGTATATAGGAAACATTCTCCAGGATAGATCACATGTTAGGTCACAAAACAAGTATTAATAAATGTAAGAAAACTGAAATCATATCAAGAATCTTTTTTAACCACAATGGTATGAAACCAGAAACCAATTACCAAAAAAAACTAGAAAATTCACAAATATGTGAAGCTAAAACAACATATTATTGAAGAACCAATAGCTCAAAAGAGAAAGCAAAAAAATATCTTGGGATAGCTGCCCCGAGGAGAAGCCCTGAACTTGTCCGATAGCCAGCGATGGTGCACATCTTTTCATGAACTCATTTGCAATCTGTGTGTCCTTTCAGTTTAACGTCTCTTCATATTTTTTGCACATTTTCTAAATGGATTGTCCATTTTGAGTTTCGAGAGTTCTTTATATATTCTAAATGTGAGTCCTTTGTCATATATGTGGATTACAAACATTTCATTCCAGTTGGTAGCTTGTCTTTTCATCCTCTTAACGGAGTCTTTCCCAGGGACTCTGTTTTAATGATGAAGTTCAATATACCAATATTTTTCTGGATTGTACTTCTTCTGTCTTAAGAACTCTTCCTCAGGCCCTAGATCCCAGAGATTTTCTCCTATGTTTTCTTCTAAAAGTGTTATAGTTTTATGTTTTATATTTAATTCTTTGGTCCATTTTAAATTAATTTTTGTATAAGATGTGAGGCTTAGGTCCCGGTGCATTTTGTATAACCAGTTATTCCAGCATTACCTGCTCAAAAACTTTCCTCCACCTACTGCTTTTGCTCTTTTGTCAAAAATCAGTGGACTGGGCTTGTGTGGACTTATTTCTGGGTCTCTCTTCTGTTCCATGGATCTATGTGTCTAACCCTTTGCTAAGACCACACAGCCTTGATTACTGTTGCTATGTAATTGGTCTCATAATCAGGTATTCTACCTTGGTAAAATAATAATTTTGTTATTATTCAAAATTATTTTAATTGTCCTAGTTCACTTGCTTGTATACATTTTAGAATAAGCTTGCCTATATCTGCAAAAATGTCTTACTGTGATTTTGATAAAAATTGTAGTAAGCCTCTGTATCAATCTGGGGAGAATGGACATCTTTACCATGCTGTCTGCCAATCCATGATCACAGTATATCTTGCTTTACTAATATTCAGTTAGATCTTATGCCTTCTTAATATTTTTTTCCCTTCAGGAACCATTTCTATATGGGTTTATCCAAGATCTTGGAAGCAACCACTCTAGTTACAGATATGCAGAAGGAGCTCTTGATTCTTGGCCCTCAAATAAAACAAAAAACGAAGTCATGTTTCACTTGATATCTCTTTTAAAGATTTGTTAGTTTAATGTAGAACAGTGTTTGAAAGCAAAGGCTCAAACACTTGGCCACTGTGGACTAGAATTCTAGCTTTTTTACCGTGCAGCTGCTTGGCCTCTCTTGGTCTCAATTTTCTGAAGATGCGGAAAACAATAGTAACATCACTATATTTTAATAATTAAATGTGACAATAGGTGTGTAATTGTAAAAGCTCACATAGAAAACCTCCATAGTTATTGGTTAAATCCATCTGAAATGCACTGCGGTAACCTACAATCTGCCAAGTGTTCTAAAAATCATATTTATCATCATTCTTTTTGTGTATTTATGAAACAGTGTTTATTATAGTCATCCTTATTAGTCTATGAAGTGAATAAATTTCAAGCTGATTTTTATAGTAAAGAAATGAGCTATTTGAATTTCTCTTTAAAAATATATAACATTCTCCTAAAATTCATGCTAAGAAGAATTGTTTGGTTCATTAGGAAAAAGAAATCCTAATGGAAAAACTACAGAAAGATTCGCAAGTAGTCAAGAAAGTTCAGATGCTTGTGAAACAAGAGGAAGAAATTATGGCAGAAGAAGTAAGAATTGTAGAAGATTATGCTCAGGTAAAATTAGAATATAATCAATAAAAGTCATTTGGAGATTTGCGAAATTATTCCTTAACCCCAAAATTGAAGGGTCAGGCTGACTGCTCTAAAATATATAGTGCCCCAACGTTGGGTATTTTTCATTTTTGTCCCAAACTGAGTGTCTTCTCAGTGCAAGACACTGTGAGGTGATAGTAAGGAGTACAACCCCACAGTCCTGGGAGAAAGAGAACCGTTCTTGTGGTTGCAATGAACAGAAACTCACTGGAGCTTTATCAGAAATGCATGTGGCCTCCAAGGGCAGCATCTGCAGGAATGAGGCAGCTCTAGGGACTCTCTTGGGTGTGGGCTGCTTCTCCCATTAGCTGGGTAATCCTCTTCTTTTTAGCTGGCCAGTTACCCTCCATTCTCTCCAGTTAGAATCCCAGCAGGAACGGTCTGGTGCAGCAGATTACCAAACACTCAGCCCTCATCTCTACATAGGTAGAGAATGGAGTTCCATCTGTCTTCCATGAGCAAAGGGTTTTAATCAACAACTACATCAGTTAGATACATACATACATACATACATATATATATGTGTGTGTGTGTGTGTGTATATAATTATGTATGCCTATAACACCAGTATGTGTGTAATTATTTATTTATAAATTACATACATGAGCTACTATCATTAATAAATATCCCAAAACACAACAATGCCCAGGTTTACTATGAACAGTAGTGAATATGAATGCATATTCCAAATAGTCTTCTTGGTAATTCCAAGTTTCTTGGCTGGCCTCCCATCAGATCTGATTTGGTCACTATTGTTTTTATCTCCTAGCAAGCTAAAGAGTCCAAACCAGGAGGAGCAGTGGCAGCCTGCCTTTTTCTCACTGAGCACATGTCCTTCCATTATTAGCTACCTGTCCATGTATTAAGGTGGACTGACTTCAAACTAGGTCATGTAATAGGAAAACCCCCTTACTTGGGCACAAGTAAACTGCAGGACCTCCTAACACGCTAAGCATTTAGGAAATGGAGGAGCCACTCCTGCCAGCCCTTCCATCTCATTGGCCCTCCCTTCTTCCTTCAAATGCCACACAAGTCTCATTGAAAATGACCCATGACCTCTGTTGGGCCAGCCACAGGAAGGGGCCACTGATAACCAGCATGTTAAATCTGAGTGCAGCTTGATTTCAGTCTTCAACTTTTTAGACTAAAAGAAAATGGGCATAAAGGAATTAATGGGTTTGGATTTGGGTTTGGGTTGCCATACCACAGGGGTGATCTAGCTTCAGTGGCAAACCCAGGTTTTATAGGACCTAAAGCTTACGCAATTTTGAGGCCACATTTTTTAATTCTTTTAAATACAAGATGACCAGTTCACAAGTAGACATGAAAGTGAACATTTATCCAGAATAAGTAATCAAATAAAACACAAACTTCTAAATGCTGATGATTATTATAAACATCACAAAATCTAGGAAAATAACCTAATAATGTTTAGTAATTAACTGCCTTATGCACCCCGTAACACTTTCTGCCTACATGTTTTTACTGCATATTCTGTGATTGCTTTTTCATATGATAATGATTTTGTAATATGGAATATTCAGTTGATCAAAATGTGTTTTTCATTTTTGACAATTTGGAAAAGTTTCTTTCAACTTCCCAACTCATCATTGATAACGTCATGAACATTTTCAATATTGCTATCAGATATGGTATAAGCAGCAATGGCATTTCAAGATTTCTTGTGCAGTGCTTCATTTTAAGTATCATTGAATTGAGAAGTTCCACAAACCATCGTCTTCATTATGGAAGTGTTTTTGATATTTACATTTTCACTAACATCAATACTTTTGCAAATTAAGCCAGAAGCTTTAATTTTTACAATGTGATCATATACATTCTTCTTTATTAATTAGATTATTAAACAGACCAAGAGCCAGATTGTTACTTCCATCCTAAATTTATTATTTCCTCTTAATAAATTATTGCTTTGGGTATGATCTGAAATGTTTCATTACATTTTGCTCCTCAATATTGAAATAATCTGTATTAATTTTTAACAATCACTTTTGTTTAACATTCCACAAATTTTTGTCTTAATCATTTGCAAATTAAAAATTATATAATAGGGCACCTTTCACATATATCTATATAGGGACTCTATTATTTCTCACATATTTCATTGAAATATTTCAAAACATCTTTTCAAATGCAGTAATTATTGCCTAAAAACCCAGGTATTCTGAAGAATTCTTTTTGCACAAATCCCATGAAAAAAGGACAAATGTATGGTAGGTTTAGAATAGTATATGCTGCATTTTCTGGTACACTCATGAAGGAGTGAACTTCCATTTTGAGTAAGTGTAAATGAGGATTTAATCATCTACTTACAATTTTATATATCTAATAAATGGAAGGATTTTCCATAGACCAGATTCTGGATCCATGCACTGCAAACCTTTATTCTCCTCCATTACCCACATACTTCTGGTGCCAGGTACTACAGTACAAGTTTATGTTACAGTATGACCTCTGGCCCTGTGGTTTAATGTCCAGTGACAACAGAAATATTTCTGGAAGCCATCCCTACTTGAGATAGCTTCCAATAGCTTAGTTATACAGAGAATTGTCTATGGGTGTTATAAATGTAATTCCCAACTCTGCTTCTTAGCCAGATCCCAAAAATGTCCACAGCCATTCCAGTGCCACATGACCTGATAGGAATCCTGACCGAGAGTCAAAGGGTAAAGAGAAGTGTTCTTAACCACTTGCAGCTAAAATACTTTACTTTTGCAAGTCTAACAAAAACATAGGACCTTGAAAACTACTAGAAGAGCCCCTTTCAGGCCCCTGGACAGGTGCCTGTGCAAGCGAGGGGCTTGGAGCTTAAGCTTCATCACCTTTACAGGAATATCACCTTTAGCTGGGCCCTCCTCAAAAGGATGTAGCTTCGGATTAGCACATAGTCTACAGGCACACACATGATCATCTACAATTGCTCTCTTACAACACTAAACTATGTTTTCTACCTTTATCTTGCATCTACCTACCACTTCAGCATTTTATTAAAAATAAAAATAATAATAATGATAAAGGGAGAAATGTGGGATCCACATATAAATCAAGTATAAAAATCAAACGAATATTCATATTTGACCTGATTGTTTATAGTTCATAATGCGTGATCAAAACCGAAAGTTTCTGTGATGAATGCCCTTGTACACCATGTAAGAACTTATTCACTATGTAAGAATTCGTTCACCATGTAAGAACTTGTTCGTTATGCTTCAGAAGATTGGAGACTGACGAGAATTAGGCTTGAGATGGATTAATGATTGTGCATTGAGCATTGACCCCCCTATACAGAATTTTATTGTTGTTAACAACCATTTGATCAATAAATATGAGAGATGCCCTCTCAAAAAAAAAAAAGAATATACATCAAAACTTACTATGCTTTGAGAAGTACAAAGATTGTCTTAAATCCTCATAGCAGAGTCTGGTCTTAGTGGCCAACACTATGCTTTTAAACATAACAAGAAGGCTGAAAAGCCAGAAGAAAAGATTGAGGCAAAAAGAAGATATAAAATCTCCATGACACAAGATACCCAAAATTTGGCATATAACATCAGTGAGGAATTTTAACTAACAGTGCCATCATTCAGCTATGACCATCAGCAAGGGCCACTGCATTATGTAAAACTGCACAACTGCATATGCCAACTGGCCCCAAAACTTAAACAAGATCTTCTCAGATATATGAATAATTATATGACTGCATATGAACCATCCACAGTGACAGACAAAACTGAGACTTAATGGGATTCAAAGGTGCTAATTCAGATGTTGTTTATCTGGACTGACAGAGATCTGTAAGAAGAAAGATGCTACAATAAAAAGACCAACTTTCTGTGGGAAGTACTGCAAGGCTATCTAGTTGGTTTCAAGAATATGACATGGAAGAATGCTAGACAAATAGTTAATTGAGCAGGAATACTATTTGATGGAAATTCTCAATTTTACTAAAAAGTGAATGGTTCTGGTTAAGTATGATAATTCAGTATCTTCTTCAGGGGGAGCGCAGGGAACAAATGGCTTTTTTTCCTAAACATTTTCTCTTGAAAATTATTCAAAGGGGTTATGTCTCAGAATCATCAAGCACTGTGTATGCTTGTGCCGTTTTGAGTTATAAATTACCTCTCCCTTGACTTAGATTCCAGGTATCATTAAGAGCAGGATATGGGTGTTTTACAAATATTCTGCAGCCACTCCATTAAATACAATCTAGAGTTTTTTTCTTTTCAGGTTATTTTTGAAGCAAGGAATTTGTATATTTGAAGAGACGACTAAAAGAACCACAGTTATGCTAACAAGACTGTCTTATCCTATAAGCATCATAATGAAAATTAATCCTGAAAGTCTTTCTAAAATTCTGCTACATAAGCAAAACCATCTAATTTTTTTTTCTGGAGGTCCTATGCAGTAATTTTTCCAACATACATTTGACCACTTGCTCCCTGCTTAGCAAAGAGCAATTTTACCTTTGGGTGGCAATAGAGAAACAATTCCTTTCGCTGTTAAAAGGAAGAAAAGAACCTGCTATTGTATCATTTTATCGTTCTGTACATTAAATTCCTGGGAGGCAAACGAGGACCAAGTAAAGAGCAGTATCAGGGCCAACCTGGCCATGTGATTTCAGGGAAGAACTTTCATCTCAGAACCACAATTAAATATTGGAATGAGGAAAGAAGGCAAAAATGCTAACCTCAAAGACTAAACCCTCCCCTTGATAATGAACTATGTTTTATTTCTTATCCATTTAAAAATCATATTTAAAAATCGTATTTCCTATGCGTGATATAGATAATAAGGTATATATTAAAATACCAGTAGTGACAGGATCACAACATAATTTGTGTTTTTCTGCATTTCCTAATCTTTCTAAAAAAATGAATATGCTTTATTTTTATAATAAAAAATGTTATTTTCTTAAAAAAAAAAAAAGGATGTAGCTAATACTGCGCCAAGTCCAGCAGGGCAGGCAGAGATCACTCAGTGTTTTTAGTCCTCACAGTAACTTCTCATTCAGGATCATGTGATACCCCACATGCAGGACTGTCACACATCTTTCCAACAGTATAAGCACATTTGTACACACCTGCATTATGCAGGATGCATGACTTTATGGGCATTGTAAAAATGCCAAATTATATTTTGTAAGTTCAAAATATAAAAACGTTAAACATGCAACTGTATTGACTCATACGTATTTTAGGGCTTATAACTTTACTGCAGAAAGCTGCCAATGAACTTAACAGTGTGCTGCCAGCTATCGACAAGGCGACTGTGGCTCTGAGTGCCCTGGGTAAAGCTGATGTTGCTGAATTAAGGTGAGTAACATATCTGTCTTTTAAGTTGGAAAAGCTGAGCATAAAACATAAATATATGATAAAAGTTACTAAATCTATATTCATACATTTTTAGATTAAGTTACTTTTATCCATCTTGGTTACTTCAAATTTTTCATTATGTGTGTTAAATGCTGTATCTCATCAATGTTGTGATGCCATCAACTATAGGGCATATCAGTATTTTATGTACCTTAAAGAAAAATGCTGCCTAGAAAACTGTATGATGTGCTGTTGTATAACCATCCCAATCTCAGAGATGCAAAAATGTGCATCTTAGAATGGATAAAATACTGTATCCCCTAGGCTAGACAGAAAAGCTGTGGTGATGTATAAACACCTGACCTGTGGGTCCAAAAATAAGAAGACAGTGTTCATGGCCCTGGGATTTGTGCTGGTTCAGTTGGCTGGCTTTTGGGGCCTCTAGGCATGTGGTCACACCCCCACATGGCCATGCTGGCCTCTGCCACAAGGGGTCACTGTGTGGGGGGTGACATCACCTTGGCCTTCTCCCAGACCCAGCTTCCCAGAGTGGGGGAAGGTGGCTGGGAGAAATTTGTAGGAAAGCACACAAAGAAATGAAATGCTTTAAGGCACAAAGATGTGAGCCTAATGGTTCTAATTTGAATCTTTCAGTGAGATTATTTTTAACTTGAGCTTTCTGACTCAACCAACAACAGGAATTTGCTGAGTTTTCCATTATTTGTAGAAAGTAGTATTTCAATTAAAGATGCAAAAATATGAAGCTAAGCTAACAATATCAGTAACACATTGTTAAACTCTGGGGATAAGAATAGAGAGTGGCAAAAAGGGTTTTGTTTAATCAGTGTATTTTATGGGAAAGAACAGAGCATATCACAATGTGGAAGTTACTGCTCCACCTAAAGTTGAAAGCAAATGCACATAGAGAGAGACCAAGTCCTCGACTTCTTGTTTCTCTTGGCCTCATCATGTGTAGGCATTCTCATGCATTCCTTGATCCATTTGGCAAAGACATTGTGCCAGGCCCCACTCTAAGTGCCAAGGTTGCAGTAGTTAAGAGCCAGAAAGGCCTCTCGGGTAAGGTGGCAGGGAAGCACAGAACTGGATGCCCTTTGGATGTAAAGCAGGAAGGCGTATAGAGGGAGAGTGTTCTAAGGAGAAGAAACAGAGACCAAAAGTGAAGGCAGAAATGTGCTTCAGGGGTTAAGGAATTATAAGACACTGGGTGGCTGAAGCTCAGAGAGCACAAGGGCATTGGGAAATGACATCAGCTAAATGGCAGGGCCCAGCCCTTGCCCAGTGCACTCAGCCCTCTCGGTACATTGTGACTTTGTTCCAGAAGTCCCATGCTCTTCGCTTTTCTCTGGCACATCTTCCTGAGGGAGATCAGCTCAAATTCCCATTAGCCAGGTGTCTGAGGGCAGCATATCACCATGGTCGTGCCCAGGCTCTGGTACCCAGCTTCCTAGGCGGAATCCTGGCCCCACCACTTTTTAACTGTGCAAGGCTCTCTGTGCCTCAGCTTCCCTCTTATGCAATGGGGATAATAACAGATACTGAGAGGATCAGATGAGCTGAAACATGTAAAACACTTAGACATAGAGCAGAAGCTCAGCAAAGGCTGCTTTAGTGCTAAGAGGTTTCCTCTGATGAAGCCAGCCCTTTCCTGCACCTCCTCATACAAAAGCTAAAGACAACCAGCCTTGACCTTAGTCGGCGGGGGAGAGGAATTCCCTGGGCAAAATACCTCTAAAAACCGAAATCAGTCAAAGGGAGAAATAAAGTTTAAAAACCTGTTTATTGCTCACAAACTGCAGTCCCGGGCCATCTCTCTCCCCTGCTCTGGAAAAAGTCAGCAAAGAGCAAGCCAGCCCCCTCCCCTTAACCTCTCATGTTCAGACACACCCTCTGTTGCCCAGGTAATTACCCATTGATATGGGAATGAACTTTTCTCCACCCCTGAGAAAAGATGCAAATGAACTAAAGCCATACTTCTTTCCACCTCTGAACGCCTGTTGATATGCAGATGTACCAAAGCCAGGGGAGATATTCTGGAAATACCACAATTTTACCCACATGTAAATGAGAAATGAGCAACTGAGGGCTTATCTGTACCTGAGAGGTGAGGGGGAGGGCCGGTTTTGCTGCTGCTGGAGCAGGAGAGAGAGAGAGACGGCCCAGGACAGCAGTTTGTGAGCAATAAGTGGGTTTTAAACTTAATTTCTCCCTTTGACTGATTTCGGTTTTTAGAGGTATACTGCCCCAGGATTTCCTCTCCCCAGACTAACACCTTGTCTCTCTCTTTTTAGTTCCTGTTTTTAACCTGTCTCATTATTTCCAAAAAGCCAGGCTGATAAGCAACCTGATGAATTGTTCTAAGGTGTTAATGACTCAATTATTTTGCCCTCCTTAAAAATATCTGCATTTTAAAAGTAGACTGTTAAATAGAACAGAGATTAATCCAAATGAATGAATCTCTAATGTTGAAATTTAAGTCAGGAGGGACTTTCTTGCTAACTGTTAGGCTGGAGGAAGGAATAATAAGGACATGCAAACAGAACAGTGAGATGATGCCGGGGTTCTTGTTCACAAAGCCAAAGAATGAACTTCACAAACATTCAAGGTAGGAGAGCAAGGTACAGGCTTTTATTTAGAGATAAAGTGAGAGAATAGAGCTCCTGGCTCACGCCAGGAGGGGACAAGAGAGTCCGTGATGGTGCGATGTCTAGGGGTTTTATAGGCAATTGAGGATTTTTTGAGAACATCAAAAAAAAGACTTAGGGGTGTGGACTTGCATCACCTGCCCTGTCCTCAAGGTGGGCTGGGTCATAGTCTGATTGTTAGGGCTGACAGCAGGAGATATGGGTTCTACTGATACCCTTGCAGAACACTCAAACATTCCAGGCCAAGTTGTTCCCAGTCTTTTGACCTTTAACTGATCTCACTGAAGATATCTATATTCTTAGGTATCTTTCCCTAGAGAATTAGTGTGACCTTGACTTTGCATAATGCTTAACAGAGTTTCGATGGGGACTTCTTTGCCCATTGTTACATTGCTCTGACTAAATATTCTGCCCTGCTTTTCCCGGAGGCCCTCACCCGATTCTGATTACACCCACAGTCCCTGTCTCAGAGATACCATAAAAGGAGAACAGACCAGACCCCAAGGTCTGTGCCTCATATGGAAAGGGGACAGCTCTTCCTGAATCCCATCCTTCTGATGTGCCAACTAAGACCCAGATGTCAGCCTCCTCCCTCTTGGAAGGAAAAAAAGTTTCTAGTTGTCTATTATGTCACCTTTAGCCAATCATACCTCTACACACCCCCTAGGTTAGCCTGCCCACTCCTCCCCCTCCTAACCCCTTATAAA